TCAAAAGAGAAAAGATGTGTATTTAGGAACTTAAAGACATTTAGTCAAAATTAGTTTCAATTTTTACTGATAAGCTTGATATAGAAAGAATAAAGGATTAGAGATGTGTGGTATATAAATAATTTTGAAGATGGAAATGCATAGAAGACAAACATAAAATACATGAATCATAAGAAGCCTACATAAATACATCCAGTTAAATATTAGTGGCAACTCCCAAAAGTCAATGAAAGTATAAGCTATATAAACATTTATCTGACCCAAGGAAATGGTATAATTTCATAGTAATGGAAAGGAAAGATGGAGCTTGTGATTCCTTTCTTTTTCTTTTATTACCCATTTCCCCAGACAAGGCTTAGGAAGAAGACACACATTTTCTTACCAAAATTGTTCAGCCTTCATTTCATTTTGATGTTTTAGACTCTATGAGGAAAAGGAATCTCTGATTTCTTGGACATTTCCTGATTCATTTAGGAAATCAAACTGTGTGACTCTAATTTTAATTTGTCTTAAAAATGTCATTATTATGCCAAGACTTTATGGTTTATATTTCATTCGTGTGCCATGAAATAGCTTATCCCTTAATTGATAGTTTAAATTAACCAGATATTATTAGATACTAAAATCCAAGTTTATGTACAGTGTATGTGTGTGTGTGCGCACACACACGTGCAAGTCTTGGGGTTTGAGATCAAGGGCCTGGAAACTGCCTTTGAGATTTTTTTTCTCAAGATTAGTGCTCTAACATCACAGCTTCATGTCTGGTGCTTTGGTGGTAATGGAAGATAAAAGTCTTATGGGCTTGGTCTGGCCTCGCAAGTAGCTAGGATTATATGTTTGAGCTACCTGTGCCAAATTTGTGTACCTTTTATATAGTAATTAGGAAAATTGAATTAAAAAAGCTTACTCTCAAAATAATTTATATCATTATATCCAAGAAACCTACACTAATTCAAATATACCATTGAGAGAATTTGAATAAACATAAGAATCTGGGCTTACTGGCACATCCAGTTTCACAAATAATTATTTGAGGATGAATTGAAATGCAGTAGTGCAGTAGTAGAGGGTTTGTCTAGTATGTTCAAGGTTCTGGGTTCAATTCCCAGCACCAAGAATAAAAACAAATCCATCTAAACAAATCACCTAATTAAGAATAATGATAAATACCTCCAAAGTAGTCTATTTTTAAATGTAGAGAGCAATTATCATTTTAGTGATTTTTCAACTATGTTGTCTCCATACTTATGCTCATTCTTTATTTTGTGTTTAAAATAAGTATTTTGGGTATTCCAAATGCCCAAGTGGATCGAAGGAATGGAGCTAAAGGAGATCAAGTAATTATTGTACCTACTTGGAGTGATAGATATTCCTGGCTAATCCGTGCTAATGAATATATGAGGACAAGGTTTGCAGATGGATGGACATGCCAGAGTGGATATACTAAAGAATTGAGTATGTCAGACCAAATGGCAAATGCATGAAACAGAACTGATGAGAAGTTTAGTAAGCAAACATTTTTTAAGTGTAATTTTATGTCAGATGGCTTGAGGAACTAATTAAAAATACTCTGAGGTAAAAAAAAACAAGAGAAGTTATTGAAATTCTATAACAATATAGACTTTATTGAACATCTTCAGGTCACATTTAAACTTTCAGTCAAATAGGAGAACTAACTTTCATCTATATTACCTACCCACGCAAAATGGAGAACAATCATGGACTATTATAAATAAAAGGTGACGGCACACAAGGGACGTAGAATTCATATGTTCATCAGAGGAAATGCATATTATATTAGTTTAATAACATCATGGTAAAATATAATGCTGTAGTATAGATTCTCTCCCAGATTAAAAACGTAAGTGACATGGACAACGTCTTAATTGGTCTGCCTTTCAGTCAATGATTTGCTGGGAACATTGTTAGGTTGTTCAGTTAGGCTGCAAGATCCTACAAGGCTCATCAAATGTAGGGCATTTATTTTTTTTCAAGCAAGAAGAAAACTCATTTATTATAGAGCAGCACTTTTTAAAGCCAAAAAGGGCAGGTGGCATGGCAAGGGAGGAAGAGGAACCAGTCACTGTCAAGGTCACACCCTATCATGCACCTAAGTTTTCACGGGCTGGTTACACACTGAATGTAAGGTGAATTGGTCTCTGCCCACACTACTCTCTCAGCGCCATCTTTGCTGCCCATGTCCTCTACAGTAAATTGGGCTCTGCCCACTCAACTCCTTCTCAGCGCCATCTTTGTTGCCTGTGTTCCCCCCCACTGATACTCCCCTTTTTTTGTTGTAATGGCAGACCCACCTCCCAGTTAGTTATCCTTTTTCCTCCTCTGTAAAGGTTGTTTTAACAGGATTACATTGGTAAGACTAGCATTGGCTATGCAGGGGGTTCGAGACAAGTCTGGGGGTCGAGATTCACCAGACAAGGATAGGGAGGGCCCTTGTGCATGATCCAAGAGCCCATCCCAGAAATGTAGGGCATTTAAAAGCAACTCCACATCATCTTCTTCCCTCCAGTAATCTCTAACCAGTTCCTTTATACCCTGTTCATTAGTAGGCAAGAGCGAACAGAAAGGTAATACTCATTGTAGGCTGCACTCAAAACTGAGCAGCATCACTTTCATCAGTTTCTTCTGGTCACGAGAAGTCTCAAAAATAACCCAGATTCAAAGAAAGAGAAAATGAACTCCACTTCCTTGTGGAAAGAGAACCAGCCTTATGCATGAAAGAATAACTATGCCAATGACATAGGCAACCACAATGCACTCAGGCAATATGTGTCACCTCTCTACTTCTGGTGAGGACCTAAGAGGACACTAGTTTCATCGTGGGAAGCATGTACTCATCTTTAACATATCACTGATGCTGTGTCATTTACCCAGAAGTTACTGCCAGCAGTGTCCCAAACAAGAGGATACATTTAATTTTTAATGTTTAATTTTTAATCTACTAGGTTTGAATGGTAAGTTAAAAAAGAGCACCTTGGGCACTGTGGGCTCACAAGTATAATCTTAGCCTAGATAAAGTCCTCAAGACTCGTCTTGTTAATTAAGTACTGAAGTGTGGCAGAGAGTGAGCCTTTAGGAAAGCACGCAGGCCCTGATTTGTAGCCTGAGAACCTACACCAGAGAGATAGACAGATAGAGACAGACACAGACAGACAGAAACAGAGACACAGACAGAGACAGAGACACAGACACAGACAGACAGACAGAGAGGTAACACGGGCTCTCAATAGTAGCCTTAGATACTCAGGAGGCTAAGATCTGAAGACTGCAATAAAAGCCAGACCTGATAAAAAAAAGTCAGTGACACTCTTACCTCTTTCCACTAAAAAGCCACAAGGAATGCAAAATAAGCCCAGGAACAGCACACCAGGTCAAGCCTACAGACCAGCACACATGCACACACACACAAAGAGAGTAAATTAATTTTAATACTTTATTTGATTCACTGGATATTCGACTTGAACAATTCTTAAGTGAAAAATTGAGATATTTGGCATTCTCATTATACACATTCTACAATTGTGTGTTATTATTCTGCATTATACTTCAGCACATTCTTGTATTTTTTCTACTACAGGAATCCTCCATTTATCCTGATACCACTATTTCTTTTTTCCAAATTGTCAGTTTTAAACACATTTTCGTTTTAACAGTTTGTACTATTTTTTTCACCTCACCATACTAGCATTATGTTGGATCAAAATTTAAAAAAATAATTTGTTACTGGTGCACAATATTTAAAATGTGTGAATGCACCAACATACAAGGTTAAATGATGAAATAACTCAGTTGAGGTGGAAAAACACAAATTTTCTCCACAAAAATATTAAAGAATTATGAAAACTATGCCATAAATCAGCATAAGAATGTATCACAAACACCAGAACGCTAATAGAGAAGTGACTTATAAAATATCACTAAGACAATATGCTAAGTGAAAACTACGCCATCATTCCTCATCATCTTTATTCATGGAATATCACTAAGACAATATGCTAAGTGAAAACTACGCCATCACTCCTCATCTTCTTTATTCATGGAAAGAATTTAGTCATTGTAAAAAACATCACCTGGGACCCTTCAGTAGCAACCAATATACTTTCCTAAAGATTGTCCACCTCTCAGGATTGGCTGCTCTGTTACTGTTCCCCTTCCCATATCTAATAGTAATGAGAAAATGCCACCCAAATGCCATGTACTGCAAGAGGACAGGAGCCAAATTGTCTAGGCAGTGGCTGCCAGGTCTTTAGATGGTAATGATATCAAATACATCATCTGCTTCTGGCTTTTAGAAGAAAGGGAGGCAGGACTCTTCACCCCCATCTGTGGGCTCTTGCTGGAGTTGGATGGCAGGCAGCAGCAGTACAGGAGGCTCTGCAGTGGGGCTCTCCAGGTGCCCAGGTGCTCCAGCCTCTCCAGGGACAGGCTTCAAGTTTTCTTGAAGATGCACATCTTCACAGCCTTGCTGCTCCTCCCTGACCTCCCTCTTCAGGGGGACTGAGAGGTCTTAGGGCACCTCGCATCAGGGGCCTGGGTGGCTGCCAGCATCATGTCCTGGCACTCTGTGCTCTCCCCTGTAAGGCGCAGCAACATCTCCTTCAGCTCCTTCCTCTTTCTCCTCTTCTCCTGGGACAGCTGGCTCAGACACTTGTCTTTCTCCTGACACAGCTTCTCCAGGACTTCTAGCCATTCTCTGTACAGCACAATGGTCTCTTTCATGGAGCTCAGGTGTTGGGTCAGCCGGCTGCAGTGATGGTGGAGGTCGTCCACGTGACTCTGGGGGTGCCCCTTGCTGGCCAGGTCTTCAAGGAAGCAGATGTGTGGCTGCATCTTGGGCGGCTGTGTGTCCTGCTTCCTCTTGCTGAACAGCCTGTGGATGCAGCGCTGGGGGAAAGTGGCCTGGTGCTCCAGTTCTCTCTGGCACTGGGCTGCCAGCTGACTTAGGCACCTGCAGCGGGCCTGCTGCTCCTGCAGCTGCCGGCTCATCCTCGCCTTCCTGCTTCTGTGATGGACAGTGCATCCACGTAAAAATCCCACATGCTCTGTGGATTGTCTACGTCCTCTGGGACAGTCACATCATGGGGAGTTGCTTCCTCACCCTTGTTGTCTTCTTGGCTCAGGCCTTCATCTTCCCTGGGGAAAACCAGGGTGCTCAGCTGGGCCCACAGCTGTGCATTCTCCTGTCTTGTTGCTTCCAGACACTTCAGAATGTCCTGTAACTTCTCCCTTTCCACCTGGGCCAGCAAATTGCTGTGCACCTGCTCCTACTTGAGCTGCTCCATCAGATGGCCCTGCTTCAGCAGGTGCTGCTGCAGGGCCTCCTTCTCTGACATCAGCTACTGGCTGGAGGCCCTGTGCTCTTTGCAGGTGGTGCTGAGCTCCTGCACCTGGGCCAGGTACTTGTCATGCAGCTCCTGCAGATCCTCAGCTGCTTGGTGCTTGAACTCAGCCACGTCTTTTCCTTCTTTGAATTCCTCCTCCAGCTCATCCAGCTTCGCCTGCAGGTTGTCTTCTCCTGCTGTTTTGTGTGCAGGATGCTGGCAAGCTCCCCCTTCTCAGCGCTCAGCCTCTGCAAGGCATCCTGCAGGTTGGCCAGCTCTTCTTTAAGCTTGCAGTTGTGCACCAGTGTGCGTTTCAAGGTCTCCTGTTCCTTCTCCATCGTCTCCAGGATCTTGCGCCGGTCCTCGGCATGCTGTTCCCATTCCTCAGCCTTCTTTTCCAGTATCCACAGCCACTGCTGCTGCTCCAGGTTCTGGAGACTGAGGCTCTGGTTCTCCTCCACCTGGAGGTGAAATTGCTCCTCCAGGGTCTTGAGCTCCTTCTGCAACTACAGGGTGTGGGCCTGCAGCTGCTGCTCAGCCTGAGCTGGCCCTGCAGGTGGCTGTGGGGGCCGCAGCTCTGACAGCTGCTCTCTCAGCTCCACAAGCTTGCTCTCCAGCTCCAACACCTGCCTCACCCCTTGCTCTTTCTCCTCTCTCAGCTGGCTCACCTACTCTAGCAGCTGCTGGACTTTCTCCTTCCCCGTGGAGCTCTCCAGCCTCAGGTCCTCCGCAAAGGTGTCTCTCTCCACTTTTAATCTTGCCACCAACTCTTTCATGTTGTGGAGTTGGCTTTCCAGCTCTGCCTGCTCCACTAGTGCCTCTTGGAAATTGTGAATTTGCATTTTCATGTTGGCCTTCTGTGTCAGGAGCACTTCCAGCCTCTCCTACAGCTCGGTGTTCTGATCCTCCAGGTCTTCATAGCTTCTGGTCTTTTCCTGGAGCTGCAGCTTCACGCGATTCAGGGCTTTCATGAGCTCTATGTTGTTGTTCTTGTTCTCATTCTGCATGGTGTTGACTGCAGACAATGCTGTTTCTAGCTCTGTTACTCGCTGCTGTGCAGCCTGCAGGCAGCTGCTAAGACCTTCCTGCTCCAGTGCTCTTTCATCAGCCTCTTGCTACTTGTGGGCCAGGGCAGATTGTAAGTCTGATTTTTTGCTAATCAGTATCAGTATCGATAGCTTGTGCTGCTCCAGCTCTGCTTTCAGGGCTTCGTGCACACAGGCCATCTTCTCATTGTTTTTCCCGTGTTGATCCTGCAGCTGTTTCATTTCCTGCTTCAGTTGTTGGATCTCAATGCAGAGCTGGTGATTTTGTATTTTGCTGGAGTCCAGAGCAAGTGCCAGGTGTTGGTTGTGTTTCTCCAGGTTCTTGGTGTTATTGGGACCTGTGACACTCTGGACCCTTGCAGCTGTGACAGTGCCCAGGGAAAGGGGAGGCTCAGTGTCTGTGTGGTCTTGGGCCACACCCTTGAGTAAAGGACAATCCCCAGTGTTGTTTGTCTTGGGGTTACCTCCCACTTTCATTTTCTTCTTCTTGGATTCTGCAGGTCTAGCAGGACCATTCCTCTCCTGGTATTCTTGCAGTAGTTTCCTTCCTGCAGCTACTTTTTTTTCTTTTTTTCTCAGACATCCCAGCACTGGGACGGCGAAGTTGGGAGGACCACATTCCCAGGCTGTCTAAAATCAACTCTGTTGTATCACTAGTAACTATGTCTACCTCCAATTATTTCTTCAAAATCACCTCGATTTGCTCACTCACCACTCAGCACCTCTACCTCCTCCAACTCCTTTAGTGGTGTGAGCCAATAGAGGGCATCCCAGTGCTACTAGGCAGCAAGGAATGTGGGCATGGCCTCAATTTTTTTATCCCATTGGTCAGAGAAACATGAAGTCAGGGATGTGGCCAGAATCCTGTGATTCAGGTAGAGTGGGTGGAGTCACCATGATAGCAGACCCTCCACCATGCTACTGGATCCAGCTCTTGCTGGATAGGTGCACAGTTTTGTTTTTTAGTTTTATTTTATTATTTTTATTTTTTGTGAACACACGGTTACAATTACATGGGCAGGTTAATGCGTACATTTCTTATCAAGCATTGCAGCCTCCTCCTTTCTTTACCCTTCACATGCCTTCCCAGCCTCCCCCGCACACCCCCACCCAATCCTCCCCGCTTTCCCCCCACCCCCCCACCAACATTGTAAAGCTCGTTTTCAACATGACAACTTGTACTTCTCATTGTTCCATCGGTTCCACCTGTATCCTTAAATGACTTGTTTTTCCCCATCACCTCTACAAGTTATACTGACATCAAATATAGTGAAAGCAGGGGTTATACTGTGGGGGAGGGACATACAAAGCTACAAAGAGATAAGCTTATAAATGCATTAGAAACAAATGCTTGAAAGGAAAAAAAACATTTAAATACATAACTAAGGATTCATTTTCCTAACATCACATTATCTGACCTTTTCCACTTGACTAATACTTATACTAGATATTGAAAATAAGGGAAACCATGGCACCTATGTTTCCTTGGGCCTGGATTACTTCACTTAATATAATTTTTCCAAGTTTTTCTATTTCCTAACAAATGGGGCAATGTCATTCTTTCTGATGGAGGCATAGAATTCCATTGGGTATATATACCATATTTTCTTGATCCATTCATCAGCTGAGGGGCATCTGGGTTGGTTCCATATCTTAGCTATGGTAAATAATGCTGCAATAAACATAGTTGTGCTGGTAGCTTTAGTGTGGTCTTGTTTGTAAACATTTGGGTAAATGCCCAAAAGTGGGACTGTTGGGTCATAGGGGAGCTCTATGTGAAGTCTTTTGAGGAACCTCCATACTGCTTTCCAAAGTGCTTGAACAAGTTTACATTCCCACCAACAATAAATTAAGGTTCCCTTCTGTCCACATCCCCTCCAGAATCTGTTGTTGTTAGAGTTCTTGATTTTTGCTATTCTAACTGGAGTGAGGTGGTATGTCAATATTGTTTTGATTTGCATTTCTTTTATGGCTAGGGAGGTTGAGCATTTCTTCATGTGTCTATTGACCATCCTACTTTCTTCTTCAGAAAAGTTTCTCTTTAAATTTTTAGCCCACTTATTTATTGGGCAGTTGTTTCTTTGGGGATTTGTTGTTGGGGGATTTAATTTTTTGAGTTCCAAGTATATTTTAGATATGAGACCCTTGTCTGTTTTATGGCTAGTGAAGATCTTCTCCCAATCTGTGGGCTGTCTATTGATCTTGCTAGCTATGTCCTTTCCATGCAGAAGCTCTGCGACTTCATGCAATCCCATTTGTCCAACTTTTCTTTGATTTGTTGTGTTTCTGGGTCCCTATTCAGAAAATTTCAGCCTGAGCCAAGGAGACCTACCGTTTCTCCTATTCCATCCTGTAATGTTTTCAGATTGTCTGCTTTGACTTCGAGGTCTTTGATGCATTTGGAGTTGATTCTGGTGCAGGGTGATATATAAGGATCTAGCTTTAGTTTTCTACAAGTAGTTTTTAGTTTTTCACCATTGAGTATAATGCTGGCTGTAGGTTTGTCATATACAGCCTTTATTGTATTGAGGAATGTTCCATGGATTCCTAATTTTTCCAATACCTTCATCATGAAGGGGTGTTGGATCTTGTCGAATGCTTTTTCTGCATCTATTGAGATAACCATGTGGTTCTTATTCTTGCTCCTGTTGATATGATGAATAATATTAATTGATTTGCATATATTGAACCAGATTTGCATCCCTGAAATGAATCCTGTTTGATCGTGGTGTGTGAGTTTTTGGATGAATTGTTGAAGTCGGTTGGCCAAAATTTTGTTGAGAAGTTTTGCATCAATGTTCATCAAAGAAATGGGACTATAGTTCTCTTTCTTTGATGAGTCTCTGCCTGGTTTTGTGATGAGGGTTATGATGGCTTCATAGAATGTGTTCGGTAGTGAACTTTCTCTTTCAATTTCATTGAAGAGTTGGAGGAGTATTGGTGTGAGCTCTGCATTGAAGGGCTTGTAAAATTCTGCTGTAAAACCATCTGGTCCTGGACTTTTCTTAGCTGGAAGGTCTCTTATTGCTGTTCCTATTTCAATGCTTGATATGGGGCTCTTAAGCTGGTTTAACTCATCTTGGTTTAGATTTGGCATGTCAATATTTGCTAGGAAAAGGTCCATTTCTGTCAAGTTCTCAAACTTATTAGCATAAAGTTTTGAGAAGTATTCCCTTATAATGTTCTGAATCTTGGTTGTTTCCGTGGTGATGTTTCCATTCTCATCTCTGAGTTTATTTATTTGGGTGTGTTCTCTTCTTTTTTTGATAAGATTTTCTAAGGGTCTTTCAATTTTGTTAATTTTTTCGAAGAACCAACTCTTTGTTTTGTTGATTCTTTCTATAGTAAAACATTAAAAATTCCATTAAAAATGCTTTCTATAGTAAAGTCAACCATAAAAAGTTAACTATAAAAAATGCTTTCTATAGTAAAACATTCAGAAAAAGCCAAACATGGTGCTGTGGCTCAAGTGGTAGAGTGCTAGATTTGAGCACAAAGAAGTTCAAGGCAGTGCCAGGCCTAGAACTGAGTTCAAGCCCCAGGACGGCAAAAAAAAAAAAAAAGCGCGGGACGGGGAGAGATGCTCCACCTTTGGCTTCCAAAGGTCATGCATGAGAGGTCATCTTATCGCCAAGGGTGCTGGTTGGATCCCCTCATCTCCTGTTTCACTGCTATGAGGGTCTGCCTCTGATTAGTTATAGACCCTAGCAATATCTGTCAGTCTATATCCAATTATCATTATGTCTTCCTTCTAAGGCTTTGTTGTTGTTGTTGTTTTCCTTGTGAATGTTCCAAACACAGAAAATGAATGATGCAGGATTTCCTCACAGATGGCTGGGCCCCACGCCTTGCCCGTAAGAGACGGAGGCCTGAGAGCACTAGGGCTTCAGATGAGGCAGAACTCACCACTGAAGGCAGCCAGCCACTCCTCTCCTCATGCAGCACCTTCTAATGCCTTTTTTCTCTGCAGTCCCAGGCAGTCTGATAAAACACCAGCACTGGTTTTTTTTCTTTGCATTCATTTAATAAACACCTGCAATTAGAAAACATACTAATGTGTTCTACTTGTGTACAAGACCTGCAATTTCTACAACCTTTACAGGGTCTCTGTGCCAACAGTAAACTGACACTTAGTCAAACTATTTACTCTGGTCCCTGGGTCACCAGCATCTAAGCTCCCCTCTCTCTCTAACTTTCTCCTCTATTCTGGGTACTGTATCATATTGGACGTCTGCTGCCCTATGATCCACCATTTTTGTCCTCCTGGAATATGCTTCTCTCAAGACATCTAATGCACATTCCATCATATTGATGAAACATTTCTATACTTCTCAGGCTATTCTTATGGAAACAAATCACCACAAACTTTGTGGCATTAAAAAATAGTGTATTCTATCACAGTCTTAGAGGACAGAAATCTGAAAACCAGGTGTCTCTGGAGGACAGCTCCCGCCTCAGCCTGTGGGAGCAAGCCACTGCATGTCTGTTCTGGCTTATGTGCCATGACTGACATCACTCTGCTAAACACCATGTTATTTTGATCTACAATTCTCATATCACATATCTTGGATCCAACTCACTCTACCTCTTTCTTAAAAGACAGGCAATTTCATTGAGGCCCACACAGATAGTCCAGGATAACCTCAGTCTCTCAAGAACCTTAACTAATTACATCTTTTTCTACACAGGATAACACTAGGATTTTTCATCTCAGGAAGTTCCAGGGATTAGAATATGAATATATCTTTGGGGGGAAAGGGCACTGTTTTCTCTGCCTATCACTCATACTAACAGGATGACGA